ATTTCAGAATGTTGTTAAACGAAGGGAGCTGCTCTCTGGATTTTGAGGCGTTATACAATCGTGCAAGTGTTTCTTGTATTTTTTTTTAATGTGTTGTGATGTATGGTAAACCACCCTGAGATTATACACTGAAGGATAGGATACAATCATAGGATACTTTGCCTGATGCCTAAAATATAATGAGAGTCTGTGCCAGACAAGCTTCCTTGGGAAGGGAATTCCTCCGATGGGGCACTATGGCTGAAAGTGTGATTTGACTGTTGAAAGGTGGTACAGAAATTGATTGATCAATAACCATTCCTCACATGTTGATCAGAAGTACAGAGGAGTATTGAGGTACGGAAAAGAAAGAAAGAAATGAAGGAGCAAACAGCAATCTGTAAAAAACACCAATATCAGTATTTCAAATAAATTTAGTAACAACCACTCAAAATCAACTATTATAATAATTCATCCAAATTAAAAAATGTTTCAACAAAAGCTGGTAATAGCAGCAATAAAAGCAGTACAGTGGTAACTTGGTTTACAAACTTAATCCATTCTGGAAGTCCGTTCTTAAACAAAGATGTGCTTTCCCATAGCAGCGGGGAACTCAATTTACAAATGGAACACACTCAACAGGAAGTGAAACATGTTCTGCTTCCAAGGCAAAGTTCACAAACCAAAACACCTACTTCTGGGTTTGCAGGGTTCTTAATCCAAGTTGTTCATAAACTAAGCTGTTCTTAAACCAAGGTACCATTCTGTACATAGCATGGTATAAGAATAATTTTTCAAAACAATCCAACTGATAATCATAATTCAATTCAGTTATATATCATAACACAACAAAACTATATTAAAAACTCCACAGAACTCTAAAAAATATAAGCCTTATTCACAAAACCCCTCATGAATTTAATGAATGAACGAGGAGGGTGGAACCACCCTCATTAGCCACACTCGAGCATCACCATGTGCCTTCGGCATTCAGCTGAATGTGTGAAAACGGTTTCTGCACATGTCTTTTTATTTTTAGATATCCATTTTACTTCAAACTGTACTCCTGACTAATACTTCTGTGCAACAAAGGGAGGGGGGGGACTACTGAGGGTGTTTGTCAGCCTTACTGTCAAGGAAGTCAAAGGCAGATATGTAGGAGAAGAAAGATTATCACATTAGACACAGGAGAAGAAAGATTAACTTATGAGAGCTATGAGACCAGAAAGATGAGTGGACTGCAGGAGACTGGGTGGCTCAGGGAGATTGGTGATGGGACACAGAAGCTTTTTGCCTCTGGATCATTGGTTCATAGCCAGCCTACCTCAGCTGTGACTGAACACTATTAACATCTGATGGGCTTCAGATGCCCTCCAAAGAAACAAATTGGTAGTACCCATAAGAGCCAGTGCAGAAGTCTATTAAAAGCAGAGTTCAGCTCAAATGCTGCAGTTTTGTTAAACTGTTGTGGTGTGCCAAAATAGCTGTGTGGCTTCCGTAATCCATTTATATTTTTTGTTAAACCTGCTACCCGTGCATTTATTGTGTCAACATTCTAGTCATGCTGTTGTCATCCCCGTGATGAGAGGAGGGAGAACTTTAAGTGGTTAAGTTTTAAGACTATGAAACTCGAGATACAGCAGCACTGCCACACGCATACCCAAAGCCAAAAGCATTCAAGTCCACGAGGCTGCAAATCTTCCTAATTCGCTTACCTGGGAGTAAGTCCCACTGACCTCAAAGATAAAATCGCAACCATAAAACCTTCCACTGTGAGTGGTTTCATCCTTGTGACATTTCAACCCCTTTCTGCATGCAGCAAACTGCTTCCTTACACTGTGCAGGACTGACCATAAAAACTATTAAACAAAATGCACACAAGTGACACCCAGTGCCTTTAGTTGATGCACACAATTAATTATACTGAAGGAATGGCTGCTTAAACGAAAACAACTAGACTCTGAACAGACAGAAGGATTTTCTGCAACTATCGACTGCTCAAGGCTGGGGAAATAGATTTAAAGGGCAATCCAAATCCTGCTTAGGCTGAGCTATGTGAGGCTTAGATTGAGTGGAGGTGTCCCTCAGCTCAGCTCTGACAAGTGAGTCAGCCTCCTGCTGGCCACCAAATAGCCAGGAGGCCTGCTGTTGATATCCTCATTGGGGGAAACCCAGCAAAAAGCACCAAAGAGAAAGGAAGGGTAGGGAGAGGCTGTGCTGGCCTCCAATCTGTTGTATCCAAAGCCAATCTCACAGCCATTGGCAGCTGGCATTGGGCACAGTTTGAACTCAACTAGTGCACCAGTCTGGAGATGTCACAATTGTCCTGTCTCCTCACAGGAACTATAATTGGCTAGGCCAGGCATAGGCAAATTCGGCCCTCCAGATATTTTTGGGACTACACCTCCCATCATCCCTGACCACTGGTTCTGTTAGCTAGGAATGATGGGAGTTGTAGTCCCAAAACAGCTGGAGGACGGAATTTGCCTATGCCTGGGCTAGGCAATGAATGAACCAGTAGTTCCACCACTCTGAAAAGCCCCATTAGTTGCCATTTCTCACACTGGAAATGAGTGTCTTCTAATGGGGTTAAATATCAGCTGTGGGAGGGGATTTTCACAAAGACTGTGGCATAGGGGGACACAGCATGGCCCCAATCCTGATTGCCCCTTTATTCAACATCTTTGAAGGTGCTCCCAACCCAGGACAAATAATGACCTTGGGTTTTCAAGAAGGTATATGAAGCTCCTTGATGGCTGCCAGAGATGATAAACAGCAATTGGCTTGCAAGTTAGTGTTGGCGTGACTTTGAAGTCAATAAATACCACTATGTTCAGTGAATATTACTTTAGAAAGGCGAAGGGACAACGCTTAGCATTAAAGAGCTTTCCATGGAAAAGGTCCTAGATTCAATCTATGGTAGGGTTGGGAAACCTTGGAGAGCCACCGCCAATCAGCAAAGAGAATACTGAGCGCAATGAACCAGTGGTCTGGCTCAACATAAGACAGCTTCCTTTGCGGTGTGTTTGTTTTCACTTCTGCACTGCCTTATTCGACAGCAGCAAACAAGTCGGCATGGAAAACCAGGCACTGCTGCAGTTATGTGGTTCATGCTTGGTAAATAGAGTAATTTCAGTCACTGGCAATCTAGCACATTTCAGGAGCACTAAATTTATTTAAAATTTGACATGTGCCATCATCTATCATAGGCATCATTGCAAGTAGCATTATCTATCTCTCCACACTTCCAGTCTATTCAAATGCTCACCCATTTACCATGGAAATAGTTCATTTCAAAGGAAGCCCATTCACAAACAGCCCATTTTATTAAATGAATAAAGCAGCAAATGAGAACTGATTTCTATTACGTTCATTTTTTTTCCTTGATCAAATTTTATATTCAAAGAGCCAGGGAGGAAATGCAGGGAGCACTTTATTTAGAGAGAAGCCCTTCAGTCCTTTGGAGCCCTGGAAGATTCACGGAACTACTCTGCAATTTTCTTTTTATTCTATCAATAGAGGAATTCTCAGGTACAGAAACAATGGCTGTTTGCACACCTCCCCATCACCTCCTGCATCAAAGGCATCTCATATATATATTTCTTATTTTCACTTCCCCCTCCATTCTCTTGAATCTGTAAGATATATTCCTTTCTATGTAACTACTCAGAAGACACAAAAATGAATTTCTATTTCAGGAATAAGACAGATTTGCCCATATAATTGGAACCTTACAAACCAGATGCTTCCCAAGCCCCCCTCCGCAAAAAAAAATTACTTTAGATTAGGGTTGGGGAGCCCTCCAAGGCAGTGTGGGAGGTGGCACTGGGGAGCATCCATTCTGTGTAATGGGAACCTCCTTAGAACCTAACTCGCTTCCACATATCAAAAGGGTCCTTACATTCAATCCATGATCTCTACTGCTCCTTTATGAAAATACAACACTTGCAGAAATTGCATGTAGAGTAATATAAAAGCTTCAAATTTTGTTTGATCATCTGGAAAAGCTGGTGCAAAGTAAAACTAGTGAAAGACACTGTGGTGCAATGGTCAGAGTGTTGGACTTGGACTGGTGGTTCTTGATTCAAATCTCCATTCAGCCATGAGGCTTATTCGTTCACTTGGAACTAACTATAGTGCTTCTCATTCTAATCTACCTCCTAGTATAGGACAAAAAGAATAGTCCTATGTCTACTGCCCAGAAACCCTTGGATGGGGCACAAAGCTAATAATAAAACAATATCAAGATCACAAAAACAGAGATTATGTGCTGCAGCCTGCACCATGTGTGGGTAGAGCGGGAACAACATTAGGCAGACCAAACCCCTCATTCTTCTTAAATGGGCATCTTTATTTTTATCAGGCTGTATCTGCTAGTCAGTCTTCTAATCTTCTGGTCCTGGCCCAACCTACTCCCAATACTGATGTGGCATTAAAAGTGCTGGATGAATAACAAGGAATCAGACCAAATCGTACAAAACACCATAAAGCAAAAAGCAACTGTTATGCAATCAAAAACCAAACACAAAATGGCTGAAAGCCCTATTTTTTCACAGGTAGCTATTAAATTTATTATTTATTACCCTTTTGAAATGTCTTAAAACGTGGCTATATTATAAATTGTTGCAGTTTTGTGGCCACCTCAATTTCTAACCCTGACTTCCTCCGAGATGCCTCCCTTCTTTTGTGTAACAGAGAGGAATCTTTGATTCCACAGAGCTTGGGAGTCTAGCCTTGAACAAAAGACATGGTGCATATTGTACTGTATTCATTTTTATTTCATCAGTTTTTATTTTTAAAAGGGATTAAACTGGCTGAAATTTAGGTTTGGGTGTGACCCTCTGGATACTGAAGTCCTATTGAATACAGTGCCATTTACTCCCATGCAAGCACGCCTAGGATCCATGGCTCTACTTGATATAGACCTTGGAGCCCAATCCCAGTTTTACTAAGCAGCAATTTTACTAAGATCTCAGAAGCCTGTTTTGTATATTTTGCAGGAAATGGGAAAAGGAACTTACATGCTTCATGATCATCTTCTCATTTACAATAACTTCCGGTGCCATTTTCAAATTGGTAGCAGGTTATCAAGGCTGTTGCTGCTGAGGAGACCTCCCTGGCCTGAGTTCACAAACCTACATTTGCTGATCTAGTGCTTAGAGAGAAGGGAAGAACTTCTTTGCTGCAACAGGAAGCCCATCAATTTCTGCATTCTGCCACGCCCCACACAGAAATTGCTGCAGCTGCAGCCACCCTGCTGAATGTGGCCAGCTGGCTGGTGTGCTCATCATGCAAACACACCTATAGGCAAACCAGGCAGCCAAGCAGGAAGTCATATGTGTAGAAACCATGGTGGTGATAGAGGGGAGAAACTGTGGCCTGGGCAGAGAATGTGCTCTGGGAGGCTACTAGAACTTCAAGTAAACCAGGAAGCAGTGTGGTGAGGGCTATGGAAAGCTCATAGCCACCACCTATTTCCAAATTAAGGACTATCACTCATGCTTGAAAGTTGTGGGGGCTATATCTACTCCATTTTTTTGTTTTGTTTCTTGGAGCCAGGTGGAGGAATACCCATTAATAACGACTTGCCGAAAGATTGTTTGGGTAAAAAACAAGGTAACAGCCACAAAGTTCACATTAAGAGCTGGCAAAGACAAACAAATCCATTGTTAAAGAGATAAGAAGATGTATTTGTCATGAGCAAGAGTTTTTGACAGTGGGGTTTTGCAAATCAAACACCTGTGTAAATTACGATAGTCAAAACATTTGTGAAGTGTATTAATTCTGCTCATTTGGTGGCGTTAAATTAACATATACATCATTCTCATGTACATGGCAGGGGTTGAAATGTAGCTTTTTCACTTGTTCTGCAATACTCTGATTCTAATTTATATATATATATATGATTTTTTTAAAACAAATCTTATTGAGCTTTGTCATCACATTTGTGAATACATCAGGACTGCACACTCACTTTCGTTAAGTGAAGATTTTCAGTTTCAAATAAGTGTCTGCTGGCTCCATGGAATTGTTCTGAGGCCTGCCAACCATGTATTGCCTATCCCTCACAAACACGATATAAACACTGTTAAAACAAGTGTATGATCAATATTACAACAATAATGAGCATGCTCAAATGGGGAGAAAGATAAGGCCCAGTGAGCAACCTTAACACCTGCTATATCTAGATTGTTCCTAGTTTTCTATTAACACTGCTATTTTCCCATGAAGTGACTTTTGTTTGATCCTTCCAGTTTCCTACTTAGCATGTTTTTAAGGTGTTAAAAATAGATGCAAGAACAGGAGGAGGGGGGAAATAACTGAGGTAGATTCTGCTTTCTTCAGATGGGAAAAAATACAGCTCTTTCTATTAAACAGATTACCCAAATAAACATCAAAAGCTCAGATATGTTAACAGGGAAACTATTTGCACGAGATGCTTGAAAGCAGACAGATCATGCCAAGAATGAGAAGACCAAAACAATTACACATTAATAAATGTAAAAAAAACCCCAGAGGCTGAAAGGCCTCCTGGTAACTCCTTAATTTTGATGACATGAGGGGGGAAATAAAATAAAATGATGTCCTGGTTAGCAAACTTTACCTAAAGGCGCCAGTTCCTTACAACTTGCACTGTCTCAGCCCCCGCCCCCCAAAAAATTTTTACAGGCTAATGGGGAAAGATAATGGCTTATCTAGGTCCACCAGCATACACTCCAACATTTCTCCAATGAAAATAGGGATGTCCTGTTCCATAATAATAATACTTTTATTACTTATACCCCACCCATCTGACTGGGTTGCTCCAGCTGCTATGGGTGGCTTCCAATATATATAAAACATAATAAAGCAACAAACATTTTTAAAAAACTAAACTTCCCCTATACAGGGCTGTCTTCAGATCTCCTTGGCTCAGGGGTTGCATAACTCCATACCCTCCAACATTTCTGTGATGAAAACAGGGACATCCTAAGGAAAAGCAGGACATTCCAGATCAAATCAAAATGGCTTCTGTAAATCCTTGAAAATAGGGACACTTGGAAGGTGAGGGAAGACTTTTAATGGGGGACCTACTTTCTGCCTTCTCCTCGTTTTAAGCATTGCACTGCTTACGTTTGTTCTCTCTCTGATAAAGAGACAGTGGAGGCCTTTAATAATCAATTTTCTTCCTCAGACTTAGGATGAGAATATCACCCCCCCCAAAAAAAAAAAACCCTCACTATTTTTATATTGCCTATGATTTTACGGAGACAAACACACACTGCATTAAAACAGGAAAAAAAACAAGCAAGTTACTGATTCAGAAAGAAAGCTTAAGGAAAGCTGTTTTGGTTTCTTTGACTTCCATCTTCTATTCTCCACAGCGCCTTCAGTTCTGGTAGCTGCGAAGTGAGCCCCTAAAGCTTTTTCATTAGAGTAGATTTCAGTTACTGGTTCACAGTAATTCCAGCAAAGTGAACCAAATGGAACACGCTCAGTCGCCTGGAACCCTTTTCTTCAGAATTTGCTCCCCTCGGGAATACTGTATAGGCTATAAAAATCAGTCTACTTACCTGGCGTGACAAGATCCAGAAATCAACTACTAGATAGGCTCCCCAATTACAGTTCCTTCTCAACCATTAGGGAATCCATTAAACTCTCTTAAAAGATATCAGGCACACTGCGTTTAATCCCCCCCACACACACATCGCCACGAAGCTTTAAACAGACTTGTTTACTCATATAGTATTTTGCTCAGTGCTATTTTTCTAGAAAAAGAGGTGCCGCAACTCACCACGAAGACCACCCTCGTTCTCTTAGAATGGCAATGGCGCCCACCTGAGAGGTGGGGAAAAAGCCCTGATTTTACTATTGTAAATTAGTACTAGGGTTATTTAGTGAACCAGGAAGACTCTGGGTTAAACTACTACTTCTGCCAAAAACATGACTTGAGGCAAGCTGCTTAACCTCAGCCCTCCACACATAATTAATTAATAATAATAATAATTTTACTTTACAAGATGTGAACCCTCTCAAGTATGCATGCCAGGAATAATTAAACTTGCTTCCTCACTTTGTCAAGAGTTCCTGGGGTTGGTTTATGACTGAGTTTAACCTGGAGATTCTTTTGCATCTGAAATAGTCCATTGCATCCAATGTGCAACAGGACTTCCATTTTCTCTCCACCCCACACCTCATATCTTCTCCTGAGAGTCCTCCAGCCCTCTGTAGCTGTTTTTGAGGGTACTTAGGGGGTGGCGCTGTGTAAGGCAGGAGAGGAAGAGGACGTTCCTTTGCAGAAAGAGGAAGTCTGTTGCAGGAGCAAATATACAGCAGGGGATGCAGACCATCGTTCTTGGTATTTTGACTTATTAACCATCTTGAGTAGGTGAGATACCATCATTGTAAATAACTAAATTACCTGCAATTTTAATCTCTTTTATTTTTCAGCTGACTGGATTGCAAATTGCAGATTCTGCCTACCTCTGAGGCTGTGGGAAAACAAGCTGCTGCTATGCTTCCTTGCCTGCTATGGAGCCAGGGCTTTATTTTACAGCTGGAACTCACCGGAACTCAGGTTGATACTATTGCCATTATAAGAGGCTTTCGTGGTGAGTTCCGGCACCTCATTTTCTTGAAAATAGCATTGCGTAGAATCACAAAATTGTAGAATTGGAAGGGCTACAATGGTCAACTAGTCCAACCCCCTGCAGTATATGAGTCTTTTGCCTAATGAGGCTTGATCCCATGCTCGGGGCTTTTTTTGTTAGCCAGAACTTAGTTCCGGCACCTCTCAGGTGTGTGCCATTCTAAGAGAACGAGGGAGGTGTCCATGGTGAGTTCTGGCACCACATCATTTTTTAGAAAAATAGCAGTGCTCATGCTGTGTGGACTGAACTATCCATAGAAAATCAGAACAGTGAAGCTCAGTGGTACCAGCACTCTGGGTTGGAAGGGGCCATGGACAAGGTGACCACAGCAAGGCCTCAAGTAGGCTTACCAGGCAATGGTGGGCATTAGTAGTGAAACTGGTACTAGGAAGCACTTGGCAAAGTAGCAAGAACAGCACCATCTTCGATTCCCCAAAAATGACTCAAGAACCCGATAAAGGTAAAGGTACCCCTGCCCGTACGGGCCAGTCTTGACAGACTCTAGGGTTGTGCGCCCATCTCACTTAAGAGGCCAGGGGCCAGCGCTGTCCGGAGACACTTCCGGGTCACGTGGCCAGCGTGACAAAGCTGCATCTGGCAAGCCAGCGCAGCACACGGAAACGCCGTTTACCTTCCCGCCAGAGCGGTCCCTATTTATCTACTTGCACCCAGAGGTGCTTTCGAACTGCTAGGTTGGCAGGCGCTGGGACTGAGCAGCGGGAGTGCACCCTGCCGCAGGGATTCGAACCGCCGACCTTTCGATCGGCAAGCCCTAGGCGCTGAGGCTTTTACCCACAGCGCCACCCGCGTCCCTAAGATCCTGATAGAGCCCCATAATTCCTTATTTCCCTGTTTGTTATACATAGGTCAGCAGCCACCTTCTTAGCCATTTGTCTGATCAATGTGGTAGAAAAGGAACAAAACGATGCTGCAACTCTTTAATCATTTTTTTAATAAAACAGGAAAAAAGCCTTCCTTTCGTTTGATCTCTCACATCCCATATATTACCAATTCTGGAACAAGCTCCACCAAGGATCTATAAACTAACATCTCAACATACCGTGCCACACTGTGGCCATTTTCTAAGTTAACTTTGACAGGAACTAACACAATCTTCAAAAACATCGTAAACTTTGCTTCGGAGCTGACACTCTATTGCTGCTTTGTGCATTACAGAAGTCGTATCCGGAGCTGAGGAAAGCCTATCTAGTGCTGGTCAGATATATGCCTTTTTGTCATCACCTCGAGACGCTATCTTTCAATTAGATTTAAAAAGAAGACGACGGAGCCGGGGGGGGGGGGCGGCAAGAGAAGCAGCTATAAGGAAGTGCCTTCTGGAAATGTTCTTTGGTACTCCATATGTAGGTTAGATCTGCTGTTAATGCTAACTATGGTGGCTAAGCAAACTGGCAGCTGAGCAGTAGTGTGAGTGTTTTGCTTTGCCATTTAGGAAGCCAGCATTCATTCATCATCATGGCTTCTCTCCCAGGTCAAGTGGGGTTGAAGCTACAAAGGAAACAAGTTCATTCAGCCCCAGTGGGACAGTGTGTTTCACTGTTACTCAAGAGTGTCCTCGAATTTTCAACAAATATAATGTGCTTTATTATCACTCACTCCAGGGATGCAAGGAATGGCTGATCAGCCACACTAGGAAGTTTTTAGTTATTACTTTTAAGAAACAATAACTCCCCCCCCCCCGGTTTCTCTAAAATTGTTTCTCTAAAAATGCAAATTATGCATGAGAGGAAGGTATGGCTAAGTATAGCCCTGGTCTCAATTTGCGGGGAGGGAGCAGTGAAAGCAAAACCATCACCTTATACTAACTTGAAGTCTTCATATGTGTAGAAATACATGTATGACATTGAACTGCTCCATAGTTAAGGGCTAGGATGACCAGATGCATAAAAAAATGGGGTGCATGTATATTTAAAAGTTGTAGAATAGAGGGAAACGCAATAGATAAGATTGTCAGGCCAGGCAAGGAAAAAACCTTCCTGATAAAATTTCCTTTATTCCATTATTAACAGTGCAAGAGCCCTGTCCTTCTTTGCATTTCATCAGTGGTCAGGAGAGTATCAATATTTGGAAATCATGCTAGAATACTTTTTTGGAAGGTCTTCTTTGTTGGGAGGTAAGTCCTCCCATTATGCAGTGTGAGGCCCATGAAAGGTAAGCATTTTTTCATCATCATCATCTACAACAACAAATATTATTATATTTTTAATCACAAGATAAGGCACTTGCGGGATTTTCTGGCTCAGGTACCAAAACAACTTGACCAGCTTTGGATTTTGGATGGGCTCTGTTTCGAGTTCTTCCTCAGGTTGCAAACTATATCGGGGTAGCCCAGGCATCGCCAACCTTCGGCCCTCCAGATGTTTTGGACTACAATTCCCGTCATCCCTGACCACTGGTCCTGTTAGCTAGGGATCATGGGAGTTGTAGGCCAAAACATCTGGAGGGCCACCGATTGGGGGTGCCTGGGGTAGCCCTTCTAAACATCACATCAAATCAAGCACCCAGGTGACTAGGCTCAGATTAAGCCCACATCAGACTTGTAAAAGAGATCTGTATCTAACTGCAACCTCTAAAAAGCAGGAGAGGAGAACCTGTAGCACTAAAGATGTTGCTGGATTCCCCATCAGCCCCAGCCAGCATGACTAATGGTCAGAGATGATAGGAGTCTAATAACATATGGAGGGTGACAGGTTCCCCAAAATGACTTTTAAAAAGTGAAATGGTTATTACTTGTCAAATCATAGGTTCAAAGAGAATTGTAGACCACTAAAGAAAAATTGCTAGAATTTTTTCTTTCTTTCCATGCTAATTTTACAAAAAAAAAAAGTGGTATAATTCTGTATATAATGTAACATGCAATTGTTTTAAATGAAGTCTTTAATACATTATCCAGCAATGTATAGGTCTAAGTGCTCTAAGCAGTTGAAATGCACAACTCACAAGTTTAGCTACTCCCTTCTTGTTGCTCATTGATGGGAGCTTTGTTGTATCCGGGTTCTTCTTTAATAGTATATATACAGAAAAGCAGAAGGGCAATGACAATGGAAATAGTGCTGCCATCTTTTGGTCATCAACATTAATAGTGCTACATAGGAAGACGGCACACAAGTAATCCTTCGGAGGGAATTTCCTACTAGTAGAAAATGTTCAAATGGAAAAATAATCCTGTTAAGCTCATTAAGACAACAGAGGTCAGATAATTTAAATAACGAATTGCAAGGATATTAAAAAATGTGTAATTCCTGCTTTTAGCGGTCAACAGGATAGCACTGCTGCAGCAGGAGACAGTAAAAGGGAGAGAAAATTTCAATAAAACACAGAAGAACTTGCCTTAGAACCATTCGACCCTGGAAAAGAGAAATAAGGAAACAGCTAATTCACACACACCTGCTCGCGACATAATCTCTCTCAATTTGATTATGCAGTACATTATGATTCTAAGGAAAATGTGTGATCTGTGTCCATTGGAAATTATTGTATTTGAATTAACATTGGGTGGCACAAATATTCTGTCATTCTTAACCTGGGATGGCACACAGGCAAGTCATTGCTTGGTGCAACAAAGCAGTAAGTGATGTGCAAACATATGTGATCTGGCTCTTCACTGAGCTACAATCCAGGAAAATAAGGAGGGGAGGGAATTAAAATGCAATGTATTACGTTACAATCATTATTACAATCAGCACTTGTCAATTTTAAAGATTCCCCAACTACTGATTCACTTAAAGGACTGGCTCTGGAGATCTTACTTAACAGCCAAAGTTTTTAAAAAGTGTAGAAATACTGCTTCATTTTGGATTGGCTTTCTCTTTCAAAGTTTAATTCCCCCACCCCCCAAATTGTCATTTAATCTGTGCCTTAACTCTGCTCTGCACCATGTTTTGAAATATCAAATACTAATGACACAAGGGCATCCTATTGTCAGGTATTTTAAGGTGCTGCATGTTGCTGAAGAAGTATTACCCTGAACAGAGACAAGCTGCTACTTGCAGCCTAAACAACTCCAGCCAGAGCTTTCAAAAGCCCCCAGTTTCTGCCTTTTTCCTCTCCCTCAGCTTTACTTTCTGCCTCCTTCATGTCCTACCTTCTGCCTCAGTTGAGAATTGCTCCTTTCCCTCTGTCCCCATGTTACCGAGCCAAGCAATAGCTTTTACCATATTGGTCACAGATCCAGACCAGATGCTGGCTGTGTGTAATGTCTGCTCACACACAGTGAGGACAATTATATTACACATCCACGGTAGAAATCCTTTGGAAGGTGCATAATTACCTTCGCAGCAGAATCCATGTAGCCAGTTATTTTTATACTGGAAAATGGCAAGTCGTCTACCTCCCTTTCAGGAAAGTGGCCTTTCCTGGCACAAGATTACATATGGATGGAGCAGCATGTGGTTGTCACTGAGAAATTGCCGGTAGACTGAACAGGTTTTAGGCAAACAGGGGTCTCTGTACTGGGAGCACAATCAACATCCTGTAACATGTAAAATGTTAATGTTTTCTTTTTACTGAGGGATGACTAAGCATGCTTGCAGATGAAGTGCCAGTGATTCAACAAACTGCTAGTAAATATCCTTCCTGCTCTTTTGTGATCTTAAGGATCAGCCCTATGACTGGGATCCTCACCTGACCCACTTCAAGGCAGAAGCAGATTTCACAGCCTTGAAAGTATTTCCTCTGAGTTACACCAGTGAAGATTTTCTTCAGCTTCCCTCTGTGGTCAACATTCAAGGAGCGCCACACTTGACAATCCTGGGTGTAAGAAAAAGGGTTGATCTGCCCATTTCCACACAACTTTACCTGAAAGAAGGTTACCTTCAGTCATACCGATAACATTCCCCACCTTTGGGTTATTGACTTGTTTAAGGCCTTTTAATGTAACCATTCAACACCCCAAGGTGGTTTACCACACAAACATCCTAATACAAGAAAGAAAAGTCTGTTTCAATCCAGTCTATGTGGCAACCATCAAAGGGGGCTCATTTGGGAGCCATTTTCCCCTGGGCAAACTCCCCACACAAATCTTTTGAATCCTCCTGTGACTAAAACTCCTGAGGGGGGGGGGGAGAAAAAAGAAAGAAACAAACAAACTGCTAGTTAGAAAGACTGCCCTGAGGCACATTAGAACAAAGCTTATATACCGGTTTCAAAAAGTCATAAAACTTCAAAATATTATTATACATACAGTCATACCTCGAGTTGAATGCGCTTCGGGTTGAGCGTGTTCGAGTTGCGCTCCGCAGCAACCCGGAAGTGACGGAGCGCGTTACTTCCGGTTTCCGCCGCTTGCGCATGCTCAGACACTCAAAATGACGCCACGCACATGCGTGGAAGCGGCGAAACGTGACCCGCGCACGTGCAGACACACCGTGCACTTATTTCACACATCTCTTGGAACACATATTGATATGTTTACTACCAAGACTATTGAAATAAAGCATAGAATAAGATGTAGCCATACATTTGGCCTTTGAATTCAGAATGCCAGCATAGAGTCCTTCCCACTACACACACATATACAAACAAAACTTTAACTGACTGAGGGGAGGAATTCAAAGGAACATCATATTTAACTTTTACAGCAATAATTTTGAAATCCTCCCAGTATGAACGGAGTTTTTACAAACTGACAAAGAACCTTTTTAAAAAAATAATAACACTGGGCTATTATTTTATTTCAAAACTAATTACATTAAGGAATTGGCAACAATAAGTAGATGGAATAGAGCAGGCAGTTTTGTATATAAATGATTTATTGGTCTTTTGTGAAATTTCAATTACCTCTCCCCCCTCCCCCGCCCTAATTAATTAATTAATTAGTTAATTGGTTAACTGTGCCAGGCAGTTTACAGAGGAAACAAGGTAAGGCGTTTTACAATCTAAAATTCAACGCAGGAGAAACAAACAGAGGAAAGGGGGGGGAGAGTAGAAATGGGTTAAATGAGGAGAGACTGTGGTCCCATCCACACAATACATCTAATGCACTATTATGGCATTTTAACAGTCATATAGCCTTCCCAAATGAATCCTGAGAACTGTAGTTTGCTAGGGGTGCTGAGAGAGGTTACACAGACAAGCTACAGTACCCATGATTCTTTAGGGGGGAGCCATGACTATTAAAGTGACATATGAGCACTTTTAATGTATGGTTTAAAAGTGACCTTAGTGGTTATTTCAGTTAAAACATTCTTAGTTACAGCAGAGCATGAGAACAAGGGGACTGTACCAAAGGCTTTGCGGCAAAGGTACCTTACCATATAAATATTTTGACACGTTCAGGGAAAGCATTGCCAGGGATTTTTAATCATTACGGATGCAGTGCAGCTAAAATAATTTTAGTCTGGATTTATACCATATTTTTGCCAACGGTCTTACAAAAGGAAGGTGCAAAGTCCCACTGAAACAAACGGGAGCTGTAGAGCCGAGAACTTGCAGCAGCACACCCTCAACCCAGTAATAAGGATCTAAAATAATATTTATTCAAATGTATGCATTTGAAAATGTCTCTAAAGTTGAAAACACAATTTCCCCAAAGGACTCAGCCCAGCCAGGCATATTTACCCCGTCGCTTCAGATCGAAAACATTTCCAAGAGCAAGCAGAAAATATGGCAAAGGCAGCCTCCTTGTCTGAAGTATTTTACATGCTCTACATAGTTTTAAAATATGTGGCTTATTAATGACTGATTTTTCAACCTCCCCAATAAGCTTTTTATTATTATTATTAAGATGACACCCCTTTACTGATACAGGTGTCACACAATTCCGCTCTGTGCATGTATCTTTTATGATGTTTAATATAAAAGATAGCCCAGTATTTATATCCCTTACAATAAGAGAATGGATTGTTTTAAGGTTATACAGTCCAGCTGTGATAAAGAAAGAAGGAACCTTACAAAATGATAAATATTTTCATTAAAAAACTTTAAAACTAAAAGTTCAAAGATATGTTCTCTTCTCTTATATCTTGTCAAAACATGACTTAGGGCCCAAAACTAATCTACTTTCAATTTTATTCCATATTTCAGTGCTGTCATAGTACTCAGCAGAGAGTATTGGAATACGATCATTTTTTATTTTGTTGATGTTACCGACAGCTTTATTTCACAAAGCAATCTTATACTATGTCTACCAGTGGCAGGTCACAGAGGTCAAATAGTCTATCCTTACAGGTAGAGAGCTTATTAAATGGCACGTCTATTAAACCCAATGGACAACATAAAGAAACATTTCAGCAAAATATTTTTAACATAGTTCAATGAAAATATGAGTGGAAAGAGTAGTAAATAATTTAAAATGATGCCGGTATGAAACTTAGGTCACAGCATTTTTAGAAAAAGGGGGGAACGGAGGGGGATCTTCAAGCGCAATCCTACTGCTAAAGTTTTTAGAACAAAATCTATTTTTTTAAATGCCTGAGGAAAATCAGTGTAGCCCATACATAAGTTTACATTGTGTGTTGCATTTATTTATAGGTAACTGGATTCGTGACTCTGTAAATTGCCTATTTTTTTTAACATACAAAAATAAACAACAGCAAACAGCCTAATCCTATACAACCATTGCCTAAAATTGTGTATTGTGGTAACACTCTCCTCTTCTTCCACTGCAGAACCTCCCTTGCTCCTGCCCCATAAAAACCTTGTGACGAATGTGGTGCAAGAACTGAGGCCCCAATCTGCACTATAAATGTAAAGCAGGAGCATACCACTTTAAACAGTTATGGCTTCCCACAAAGAGTTGTTAGGAGTCCCCCTATTCCCTTCACAGAGCTAAAGTTCTCAGGGTGGTTAAACAATTCCTCTTTTCAGGAAACTCTGGGAATTTTATCTTTGGAGGGAAATAGGGAATAACGCTCAGCAACTTTAACAAACTATAGTTTCCAGGATTCTTTGGGAAAAGCCATGACTGTTTAAAGTGGTATGATACCGTTTTAAATGCATAGTGCAGATGGGGCTTAGGAAATCTGCATCGTACCGTATGCAGGTCATGCATAACAGCAGCCCAATGGGTTACTTTTGAAATGCGCTAGTAAAAAACTAAGTTAGCTAACTAAGTTAGCAAAACCCTAACTTCACGTCAGACTCTTAAGCTGCATGGGGAGGGGACTGGATTTCTAGAGGAGTAAGCCATGTTAGTGTCTTGCAGCGAAAACAACGAGAAGTTTTTGACACCATAAAGATTAACAAATTTATTCTGGCATAAGCTTTTGTGGAGTATCATCCACTTCATCGGGTGCAACAGAAATTCAGTCTAGATCCAAGCATATGGACTGGGATCAAGACTGTTTCTTATAAACAAAAGGGTTCCTTGTCTCCACGGAAGACTTCTGATCCATTAGCGTAATTTCATTGGCAAAAGGCGTGAGGTACCCCATTTTGTCAGTTCCCCCCTCCTTCTGCAGTGCCCTATGTCCCCACCCCTGAAAATCTGCTCCAGAGAGTTGAGTTGAGGGACCCTCTGGAACACTGTGGGAGGTGACTCTGGAGGCTGCAAGAGGAATGAGAAATTGGCAAAATGCCTCTCCCCGGACCGGAGCATTCTAAGCAGAACTCCTCTCAGGAGTAACCCCTGGAGCCAACCCAATATGTTTGTTACTTTGCCTCAGGGATGGAGATTCTGAACCTCCAGATGTTACAGACTACTACACCCATCATCTCTGGCCACTAGCTATGCTGGCTGGAAGTGATGGGAATTCAAGTCCAATAACATCTGGAGGAATACAGGTTATCCCTGCTATGCTGGATCGTCATATCCCTGTGGTTTACAGAAGCACCCACAATTTAATTTCAGAGTGGCACACAAAAAGTCCCAGATCTATATTTAGGGGGGAAACACAAAATGATAGGGCGCCATCAATCCAAGTAAAGTTCCATAGTTTCAATGGGAGAATTAAACTTATCCTTCAGCAGTGCAGCTTAAGTTCTTAACACACACACACAAAACAGTAGCTAAAAATGTCAGGGGGGTTTCCCTAGTAAACAACACTAATATTTTCCCCCTTAGGTAAATTGAAAAGGGAATATAAACTGCCTCAAACTGAGCCAGACCATCACTCCATCTACCTCAGTATTGTCTATAGTTACTACCAGTGGCTCTTTGATTTTGTTGTTCTTATGCATGCCCAATATTGATTTTTTCAATATTGGTGGTTTCATTACTGCATTCAGAGGAAGAGGTTAAAAAAAAGTGAGTTATGCATGGGAGCCATATATTCAAATAGCAACTCATGGTACATTGCCTTCAAACTTAACCCTTGCTTTTCAGTTTTGCTATCTATTCCAACTGACTAAATGCAACAAGCTTCAACAACTATAGCAGCATTTTAATTGTCCACTCACAGATCCACATATTAGCTAATGATCTGCTCTTGGCTTCTGAAGTCTTTCCGCTGGACCCTACTGGATACTACGCGGTACACTTTTTATCAGTAGATTCATCTGGTCAGATAATTAATGAAAAACAGAAACATAAAACATGAGTTGTTAAAGTTCACAATTACCTTCCCTCACAGCTTCACTCTGAACGTCCTTGCTTTAACACGCGGTAAATCATCTACCTAAATGTATTTGCACCCAATCATTTTTTAAAGTCACAATCTTTGTAGTGTCAACTTGTCAAGGGTCAAAGGGAAGAACAGGCAAGATTCCCAAATCAATCTGCTTGTAGAAACTGTCTCATTTCATTTCAAATTACCTGCTGGGGCTGAAGCAGCAGGCAATGGACAAACTGCCTTCCTCCATAAACCATGACAGCACAGGTCGAACTTATGTGATCATTCATAAGGGGCAAGTCAAGCTGGGGCTGTCATTAACTACTTTTAAACTGCTGTGCAGGGTTAAGTGATCTTGCAAGGCAGCAGCAGATATAAATACTATTTGGACAGTTTAATGTCAAGAGACAACTCCTCTGGGATTAAAACTGTGTAACCCAATAGTGCAGTTGTCGATGGAAGGATTAAGGGAGTTTGGAGATGTTTCTTGAAACCCCAACTTTGCATGTTTTTGCATAGGATTTACATGCCAAAGGCAGGGCAAAGCTCTATGAACCCTAACATGCTCTTCCAAAAGCACGAAATAAAAGTATTCCTGATGCAAAACCAGTTCTCTCATTTTGCAAGGGAATGACTTCTAAGGCCTCCTTCGCAAGTTTTAAAAAGGAGGTAGCAAAAATTCTCTTGGGGTGACTTGACCCATCTCATTTGCTCATTAGGAGACATTAGACTGAATTAATTCTGCATATT